AGGAGCTGCTGCAATCTCAGCCCTAGAGATTCGGGCATCTTCAACCAAACTGAGAGCAGGCTCCCAGCTGCTAACCACGTCTTCCTGAGATCCAGAATGGTTGACATCCACCAGGAGGGCCACAGCCTGAGGTCAGCTCTCCAGAGGATACACACAGTACAGCTAGGACAGTGCTCTCATGGGGCACCTGTAAAACCGAGTGGCCGGGACTGGGAAGGCGATTAAGATGCATGGCCCACCTAGGACAGTACACTTGCCAAACACCTGGTCGCCTGAGCTGCTCAGATCTGGGAAGGGCACAAAATGCACATCCGACCCACAGAGACTGAGCGAGAACTGTATCTGAGTGTCTCCTGTGGAAGTACGTGGGCAGTGGCCTGCCTCAGGGACAGGGGCTCTGGGTGCAACAGACCTGGGTATGACATAAGCCCTCTTGGAAATGGTCGCCATTAACCCCGCCATAGAACCAGCAGAACTTACACAGGACTGGGAAAACAGACTCTTGGAGGACATAAACAAAACCTTGTGCACACCAGGACCCAGAAGAAGGGAGCAGTGACCCCACAGGAAACCAACCCAGACATGCCCATGAGTGTCCAGGAGTCTCTGGCACAGGCGTGTGTGGTGGCCTGCTGCAGGGTTGGGGGCACTGAGTGCAGCAGTGCATGCTGGGACCTTTTGAAGGAAGTCGCCATTATCTTCATTACCTCCACCATAGTTTGGCCTTGGGTCAAGCAACAGGGCGGGAACACAGCCCTGCCCATCAATAGAAAATCGGATTAAACATTTATTGAACATGGCCCCGCCCATCAGAACAAGAACCAGTTTCCCCCCCAGTCATTCTCTCCCATCAGGAAGCTTCCATAAGCCTCTTATCCCTATCCATCAGAGGGCAGACAGAATGAAAACCACAGTCACAGAAAAATAACCAAATTGATCACATGGACCACAGCCTTGTCTAGGTCAATGAAACTATGAGCTATGCCGAGTAGGGCCACCCAAGACAGACAGGTTATGGCAAAGAGTTCTGACAAAACGTAGTCCCCTGGAGAAGGAAATTGCAAACCACTTCAGTATTCTTGCCTTGAGAACCCCATGAACAGTATACAAAGGCAAAAAGTATTACAGTGAAAGATGAACTCCCCAGGTTGGTAGGTGCCCAAAATGCTACTGGAGAAGAGTGGAGAAAAAACTCCAGATAGAATGAAGAGACAGAGTCAAAATAAAAACAATACCCAGTTGTGGATGTGACGGGTGATGGAGTAAGTCCAATGCTGTAAAGAGCAATATTGCATAGGAACCTGGGATGTTAGGTCCGTGAATCAAGGCAAGTTGGAAGTGGTCAAACAGGAGATGGCAAGAGTGAACATCGACATTTTAGGACTCAGTGAACTAAATCAGACTGGAATGGGTGAATTTAACTCAGATGACCATTATATCTACTACTGTGGGCAAGAATCCCTTAGAAGAAATGGAGTAGCCATCATAGTTAACAAAAGAGTCTGAAATGCAGTACTTGGATGCAATCTCAAAAACAACAGAATAATCTCTGTTCATTTCCAAGGCAAACCATTCAATATCACAGTAATCCAAGTCTATGCCCTGACTAGTAACGCTGAAGAAGCTGAAGTTGAATGGTTCTATGCAGACCTACAAGACATTCTAGAACTAACACCCAAAAAAGATGTCCTCTTCATTCTAGGGGACTGGAATGCAAAAGTAGGAAGTCAAGAGCTACCGGAAGTAACAGGCAAATTTGGTCTTGAAATACAAAATGAAGCAAGTCAAAGGGTAACAGAGTTTTGCCAAGAGAACGCACTGGTCATAGCAAACACCCTCTTCCAACAACACAAGAAAAGACTCTACACATGGACATCATCAGATAGTCAACACCAAAATCATATTGATTATATTCTTTACAGCCAAAGATGGAGAGGCTCTATACAGTCAGCAAAAACAAGCCCAGGAGCTGACTTGGCTGGGATTATGAACTCCCTATTGCAACATTCAGACTTAAATTGGAGAAAGTAGGGAAAACCACTCGAAAATTCAGATATGACCTAAATCAAATCCCTTATGATTATACAGTGGAAGTGACAAATAGATTCAAGGGATTATATCTGATAGACAGAGTGCCTGAAGAACTATGGACAGAGGTTTGTGACATTGTACAGGCGGCAGTGATCAAGACCATCCCCAAGAAAAAGAAATGCAAAAAGGCAAAATGGTTGTCTTGGAGGCCTTACAGATAGCTGTGAAAAGAAGAGAAGCTAAAGACAAAGGAGAAAAAAAAAGATATACCCATTTGAATGTAGAGCTCAAAAGAATAGTAAGGAGAGATAAGAAAGCCTTCCTCAGTGATCAGTGCAAAGAAATAGAGGAAAACAATAGAATGGGAAAGACTAGAGATCTCTTCACGAACATTAGAGATACCAAGGGAACATTTCATTCAAAGATGGGCACAATAAAGGACAGAAATGGTATGGACCTAACAGAAGCAGAAGATATTAAGAAGAGGTGGCAAGAATACACAAAAGAACTATTACAAAAAAATATCTTCATGATCCAGATAACCACAATGGTGTGATCACTCACCTAGAGCCAGACATCTTGGAATGCAAAGTCAAGTGGGCCTTAGAAGCATCACTATGAACAAAGCTAGTGGATGTGATGGAATTCCAGTTGAGCTATTTCAAATCCTAAAAGATGATGCTGTGAAAGTGCTGCACTCAATATGCCAGCAAATTTGGAAAACTCAGCAGTGGCCACAGGACTGGAAAAGGTCAGTTTTCATGCCAATCCTAAGGAAAAGCAACGCCAAAGAATGCTCAAACTACCGCACAATTGCACTCATCTCACATGCTAGTAAAGTAATGCTCAAAATTCTCCAATCCAGGCTTGAGCATTACGTGAACCGTGAACTTCCAGATGTTCAAGCTGGATNTGATGCTTTTGAACTGTGGTGTTGGAGAAGACTCTTGAGAGTCCCTTGGACTGCAAGGAGATCCAACCAGTCCATCCTAAAGGAAATCAGTCCTGGGTGTTCATTGGAAGGACTGATGCTGAAGCTGAAACTCTAATACTTTGGCCACCTGATGTGAAGAACCTATTCATTGGAAAAGACCCTGCTGCTGGGAAAGATTGAAGGCAGGAGGAGAAAGAGACAACAGAGGAAGAGATGGTTGGATGGCATCAACCATCCAACCGACGCAATGGACATGAGTTTGAGTAGGCTCTGGGAGTTGGTGATGGACAGGGAAGCCTGGCGTGCTGCAGTCCATGGGGTCGCAAAGAGTCAGACATGACTGAGCGACTGAAATGAACAGAAGGAAAATTTTAAAAAAATATTTTCCACTATCTCATTTGATGGCAAAAGAGAAAGAAAGCAAATCAAAGGAACATGGTAAAATTATAGGCTGTAGTTGAATATTTCCAATGACCTGATAGGTTTTTCCAAGGTTGTTGTTCAGTTGCTCAGTTGTGTCTGATTCTTTTTGACCCCATGAACTGCAGCACACCAGGCTGCCCTGTCCTTCACCATCTCCTGGAGCTTTTTCAAACTCATGTCCCTTGAGTCAGTGATGCCATCCAACCATCTCATCCTCTGTTGTCCTCTTCTCCTCTGCCTTCAGTCTTTCCCAGCAGCAGGGTCTTCTCCAAAGAGTCAGTTCTTCCCATAAGGGAGCCAAAGTATTGGAGTTTCAGCTTTAGCATCAGTCCTTCCAATGACTATTCAGAGTTGATTTCCTTAAGGATTGACTGGCTTGATCTCCTTGCAGTCCAAGGAACCCTCAAGAGTCTTCTCCAACACCTCATTTCAAAAGCATCAGCTCTTCAGCACTCAGCTTTCTTTATAGTCCAACTCTCACATCCACACATGATTACTGGAAAAACCATAGCTTTGACTAGACGGACCTTTGTCGGCAAGGTAATGTCTCTGCTTTTTAATATGCTGTCTAGGTTTGTCGTAGAGGTAAATTTTATTTAATTCTACTGAGTCGTATTGAGCTGTTCAAACCAGAACTGTGTGTTAAATTATATTTCTTTATTTGCCTATCATCACAATTCAATAATAGTTAATAATAAAAGTTACTGTGTATCATCATTTACAATGGGCCACATCCTATGTTAGCATCTTTACCTACATTATGGCTTTAAATCTCCAAAATGGTCTTTGAAGTACACACCATTCATATACATTCTTTCTAGCATGAAAAATTAAGTGATCATACCTAAGGTCACACATCCAATAAGAGGAAGATTCCAGGTTACATCAGTAGCAATGCTAACGACTTATCACTTAGCACATATGGTGCTACCAAATGCAGAAAGTGCTTATTGGATATTAGCTGATTACAGTTTTGATTGAATATAATGAAAATACACTGACTTATAAAATGTTATCTGCCACATGACTGTATTTTTATAGATTTGAGTTAAAAAATTTGAAGTTATATTGCATGCATGTATAATGTTTGATTAGTTTTAGATAGCCAACTAAGCCTAGACTAGGAAACTTGCACCTAGCTCTAATAAGTAATCTATATTCTGACATCATTTTACTTTTTAACTTTAAAAGTTAAACTTTAGCTAAATTACATAGGGGACTAGAATCCCAGACAAGGTTCTGAGGAGGATCTCTTCCATGCTTAATATGCACTGATTAAAGGGTGAAATAGCCCTAACCTTGAATTCTGTCACAGTTTAGGTTATGTCCTGAACATTATATTTATGCTGTACTTTTGTTTCACTTTGGTGTAAAGAAAGGAACTCTCATAGGCAATGCCTATTGAGCTGTTGTGGTCAAATATTTATTAAAAAGACCATATTGATTTGCAGATTATGACTGACCACATATGAACCCTTCTTTCCAGTGACATTCTTATTTAAGGTATTGATTAAGGGCTTTTCATGCAGAAAGCATTTCTCTTGTCAGTTCAGTTATGCTGGCTTTTGTAATAAGCTAATTTGATTTCCTTTTTTAACCTTTGTTTGATTAGGGGAACGACATTTGCATTAAAATTCAAGAGAGATGAAGTCTGCCATCGATCTTGACTTCCTCGTGGACCTCTTGTGCTGAGGGAAAGATGATTTAGAGAATGTCAAGAGTCTTGGAACAACCATAATGAGAGAGGGGGAAAAAAATCACTTCAAACTTACACACCAGTAAGGGCTTATTTGACAGAAAGGGCAGTTGCGTTTGGTGGATATATTTTAGAGAAATCAAATTCAGGAAGTTTAATTTTGTTCTTAGGACAAGTCACGAAGAAAGCTGTAAGATGCACTGCCGTTAATAAAGTACTCCCTAGTTAAACCAAAACGTTTCCAGACAACTGAAGAGGTTAAACAAAACACGTGTATTGTTACTTGCCACAAAGGAGGAAGAAAAGTAAATTCTAATATCTCTTTATAAACATGTTCCTGGTAAAATACTAACCTCAAACAAGTTTGTGGTTAAATAGAGTTAATCCTTTTCCTACTGTTAATGGGGTTCTCAAGGCAAAAAAAAAAGAAAGCTTAGCACCAAAGAATTGATGCTTTTGAACTGTAGTGTTGGAGAAGACTCTTGAGAGTCCCTTGGACTGCAAGGAGATCAAACCAGTCAATCCTAAAAGGAATCTGTCCTGAATATTCATTGGAAGAACTGATGCTAAACCTGAAACTCCAATACTTTGGCCACCCGATGCGAAGAACCTACTCATTGGAAAAGACCCTGATGCTGGGAAACATTGAAGGAGAGAGGAGAAGGGGACGACAGAGGATGAGATGGTTGGATGGCATCACCGACTCAATGGACATGAGTTTGAGCAAGCTCAGGGAGTTGGTGATGGACAGGGAAGCCTGATGTGCTGCAGTCCATGGGGTCGCAGAGAGTCAGACACAACTGAGCAACTAAACTTAGAGTTAATCCCCTATTGCTGTCTCTGCGAATTGTGGAGATAGAACCCATGTCAGCTCAAGTCCTCCACTGGTGGTGTCATTATTGTTCAGTCGTCCAGTCATGTCTGACTCTCTGTGACCCCATGGACTGCAGCACACCAGGCTTCCCTGTCCTTCTCCATCTCTAGGAATTTGCTCAAACTCATGTCCATTGAAGTCGATGATGCCATCCAACCATCTCATCCTCTGTTACCCCCCTTCTCCTCCTGCCCTCAATCTTTCCCAGCATCAGGATCTTTCCAGTAAGTCAGCTCCCCCAGGCTTAATCAATCCTCTTTCACAATAACACTTAAAGATATGTGCAACTTCTTACAGTTGCCTTTGACTCTGGATCCTTTTCCTAGGGAGGAAATCAATGTGTTTTGTGGCTTCAATAGCTTAGTTCCATTACTTATTCCTGAAATCTCCTCCAAAGATCTCTATTTGGATCTTTTCTGGCAATGAAGACTCTTTCCATTTTATGAGGAGTTTCACTGGATTGGGGATTTTTAGTTCGAGAAATTCACCTAAAATGAACCTTGGGATGTATTAAATGCTCAGTGGGATACAGTGGAAACTGTATCACATGGGCCCACCCATTCCTTTTGCAATAGCGACTCAGAATGTTTTTCAGCTGACACAATGTAGGAGTTAGAAAAATCAAAAGACAAGAAAGGGGAACAACTTGCAAGCAATTGGTTGCAAAATTTCTGGTTCCCAATATAATTGGAAACTCTCTTAGCTCAATTGGGTAAATTCTCATGATTCTAGGTCACTTGGAAGAACTTTGAGGGTCAGTAGGTCTTTGTTAATTTCTTTCTTTCTCTGGAAAAGTCATTAAGCATATTTACTGAAAGTAATTTTCCATTATCCATTGTTCTGCCAGAGGTGATTCATCTCCAGTCCCCAGTTTCCCGATTTTACAGCTTAAAGTTGTGGCTTGACTCTCTTTTTGTATTAGTTCTTAAATTAATGTAAATTGATATATTTCTCCTTTAAAATAACATAAGCTAAGATACTAGGAAATCAACTTCTTAAAAACCCAATTCAATCTGAAAGTATATAGTTGACTTTTGGCCTATGGCACTAGAGGTAAATCTAACGTTTCCTTTCTTCTGTGAGTAATGTTACACAATTATACACATTTTAAGGACTGCAGATAAAATATGATTATTCAGAGAAAGACTGATGTTCAGCTGATATCTATGGTTCTACAGCAATAATTAGATTCTAATTAGGAAAGAATAAGAACCACTGAACACCAGGAGAAGCAAGGACTGTAAAGAAGGTACAGCCTTGTCTTGTTATAGATGAGGAAATTCGGTCAAAGAGAGGGAACTCCTTTGTGAAATACTTCCAAATTAATAAAACGAGACAACTACAATTTACTTTCAAATTCCATGAAGTTAGGTTCTTTTCCAGTAAATATGGCACCATTTAATCTTATGTCTAACAAATAATTGAGATGAAAAACGTTCCACTGATGGCATCAAGCTTTCATACCGTTAGTAGTATGGAAGTAGATTATCCATAAAACATGGCAGAAGAATTTAAGGAAAGTATTTTCATATGTCCCATATGGGCAAATCATTAACTTCTTTCATGTTGTGAACCCAAAAATATCTCTATTATATTTTATATTGTGTTAAAATCAATATAATATAATATAAAATTCATCCAGAGGATAACATATTTATGTATTCCCAAGGCATTTTTAGTTGAGACATTTATGTGGACTTTAATTTAAAAAATAACACTGCTTAGCTTCTGCCTGCATTGTTCCTCCCGTTTTATTACAGCCCCCAGTCCTGGCACCTGGGAAATTCATCAGACTCATCTCTGTGGAGGTTTAGAGGGCAGACACATCATTTTGTTAAATCTTCAGTTGCCCTTCAAATCCGCTGAACAGAATTCCTTATCTCCTAACAAAGATTTAACTAGAGTATTTTATGTGTAATTCATCAGAATAGCTGCTAAGATGTTGAATTTTGTTTTTAAAAGGTAGGAGCGTTGTGGCAGACAAGCCTGAGGTTTAAAAAGTCTGATTCTGCTTGCCTTTCATTTTCCCTGTGGCCTCTGAAGTGTGGTTTATTGGTAACCACCATATTACTATTGCTGTCTCAACTGACTCCTCATTACTCAAAGCCAATAATAATTGCTAAATATGACTAATATCACGTGGAAGGTCGCAAAGTTCACTGCTAACCTTCATTCCAGCTCAAAATGTTTTCAAGGTTAATAGATTGATTTCGAGCCGAGATATGATGCATTTATAAAATGGGAGAAAATGAAAAATTTGGCATCACCAATATGTGAATAGTTTTAAATGATTCATTTGTTACATTTGGACTGTAGCCATGAAATTCATTTGATATATATCACATAGTTATATTCTAACCTAGACACTGGAAAATAAATTAATGATACATTTTAACATTAGACAATTTTACGAACACACACACACACACACACACACACACACACACACACACTAATCAAGGATGAGAATCAGGGCATTATAACTTACTGGCTGTTCCAGTTGCGGGATATTAGGCATTTAAGACAGTCTGACCACTTTCAAAGACTGAGACTGCTCTAACACACAGCTCAGTTACAGCCATAACCCTAAGAGGCTAGTTACCAAATGTGTCCTTTGGTGTCCTTGCTTGGAGGAGAGACAAATGAAATTCCTGACCTCATCTCACTTCTATGCTTCCTGCAGCTTTTGGCACCCAGGTTCCAGCCCACAGAATCTCTTGTTTTGCCCACACCCTTGATTGGAATCATCAAGGTTTCTAGGGTCCCAGAGAGACCTTAACCACCGCCTTTCTGATCCTGCTCCATGCCCACTCTGAGCCCATCCCCACAATCTGTTTCTGAGCCTGGATTTCAATTCCAATTTGATGAGGCTGGGGAGTCCTGGTCCCTGGCCCAACTTTGCCAGAACCTGGCCCACTGAACGGGAGGCAGCATTTCCTAGGAGGGCCTCCCGCGTCCCGGTAGGCTTCCTGGCCCTCATTAAGAGCAAGCCACAGAGGCTTGCAGTTTCTTCCTCTCAAATGGTGTTCAGTTCGCCATCCTCTTTGATTTCACAAGGCTCGGACCGCTAACTGCCCCTGCTAGCAGACCTCACCGCCTTTACATCTCTGCTCTTCCCATCTTTCTTCCTGGTTAATTAGCCCACCCACAGTGAATATTGTGGTTGTCTTCTCCAGAAACAGTGCCACCGAGCTCCACTTACCTGCAGACGTGCACGCAAACCCCGTGGGCTGGCACTCAAGTCTTCCCACCTGCAACACCACTTCCCCGCTCCTGCAGTCCTTCGGGAACAGACGGCTGTGCTCTCCCCTGACTCAGCCCTCCGATCACGCTGTGAACTTGGGCCCTTCACTTAATCTAGCTGAGCCTGCCTTCCTCAGCTCTGCGGAATAACACCTTCCTTACTCGTTGTGAGGATTAACCACACAGCACAGACAATTTATAGCGTGCTCTAGGCACACGACAAGGGCCCCACGCACTTGTAAGAAGACTTTGTTAGCCGCCTGCAGTTCTCAGCACTTCTCAAAGGCTCTATACCTGCTCACTTCCCACTCACTCTTTAAGGCCATGTCAGAATCCACTGCGAGGAAGGCACGCAGGCTCTAACAACACAGTGGTGCTTGATCACATCATCTTCTTATCATTTCCTAGTTGCTCGGGTTTGACCATCTTGTCTTTCCCAATAGATTATTGGGAAATAATCCGGTAATTGTTGGAAATAAGCTGTAGGAGGGCAAACTAAAATCTCATCCTCTCGTCACTAATTTTTTGCAGCTTCTTAGCCTCATCTGCTCCCCTACTCAGTGTCCGCTCTCGCCAGATATTCCTGAGGCCGTCCGGGTGTGCCTACAGGGTTCATTAATATTCCCCTCTGCTGGGCACCCCGGTGCCTCATCCTCCTCTGTGAGTTCCTACGATGCCTCCACGAAGCATTTCCACAGACCTTGCTGCCGCTGCTGTGGGCACTGTCACCCCCTCATCCCCATCACGTCTGCCCTCCCTGGAGGCTGTCATGTCCACTGACCATCATCTCATTGCACTGGGACCCCCGAGTCCTATTCCCTGTGCCCCAATATCTCAGGAGAGCTTTTAGGAAACCAGTCTTTATTTAGGGAAACATTTGTCATGGGATATGAATTTATGGGAAAGTGGCCAAGATGCAGAATTTCCTATTCCAACTGGTAAGTAAGGCTTTGTTACTGGATTAAGTCTGTGGAGCTGGTTGTCTCTTTCCTGAGGCTGGGTTTGCTTCCAGGAGCCCTCAATACCTCAAAGCAAGTAGACTCCTAATGAGCCCCGTACAAGGCCCCAGCCAGCTCTCATTTCTAGCACCAGCATGTGCTTTGGACAAGGGTCATAGTTCTTAACAGCACCCTGCTGGATACACACAGAAAAATAAGCTGAAGGGAATTCCCTGGCAGTCCAGTGGTTAGGATGGCTTCCATTGCAGGGGGCATGGGTTCAATCCCTGGTCTTGGAACTAGGATTCCACAAACCGCGTGCATGCCCCCCTCCCACCACCAAAAAAAGTCAACTAAAGGTCAGTGGACCAACTATCTTATTCTAGAATATAAGTAAATAATTTGGGGCATTAAACTGAATCTGTACCATGCAATTCTGTTTTTTTTTTAATTCCTGTTTTGAGTGTTTTAAATTATTTGTCTCTCTTTTTTTTTTAATAAAAGTAAGCCTAAAGGAAAATAACATCTGTTATTTGAAACATGCGTGTAGGGCAATTTATAGCACATCTAGGTTCAAATAACCAGGTTGAGGAAGACTAAACTTTGCCAAAGCATATGTTCAAAGGAAAACTGATTTTTGTTTGTTTGTTTTAGATGCTAACATCAGAATACTTCCAAACCCCTGCAGTGTGGAGGCTGCATTAAAGAATCTTGCTAAGGATACTTCTGAAGTTTTAAAAAGTCCACTGGCCTGAGAATTCCAGCTCTCCCTCACTGTTTTGGTATGATCATTAGATGCCCCTGGTACAGGTAAGCCTCATCTCCAGTCTGGGGCTGTTAACTACCTCTAACCATCCAGGAAGGCCAAGGCCATCCTTACAGGCATCAGTGGATCCTCAGTGCTAGAGGCCTGTTACGCAGGACTCCTCCCCGATTCTGAAAGAGAAATAAGAGAAGGGGAGGGGTAGCTTGAAGAAAATAAAAAGTAAAAGAGAGAAAGCAAAGCGCTATGTTTTTCTGTGGCTGGTACTCTGGGTTTTAGTCTGCTAAACACAGTGGCTTGACCTGGTTACTTTAAGGCTTTCAAATCTGAATACAACATCCTACACAAACACATAACCCAGACAGATGCATATACACATACCTTCACAAAGACTCTTTCAGAACTGAAAATACTAAGACAAATCAAAAGGGAATTAATTTCACCATTGTTGCCATTTTTTTGTTTGTTTGTTTTGTTTTTGATGTAAGTCAGGGGCAGGAGCACTATGGAATTTCCAGATGATACAATATACCCATTAGAAAATGGCATGCACAGAAAATTGGAACCAGAAATGACCTTGGAAATCATCTAACTCCGTTTTCTCAATCTGCAGATGAAGAAATCAAGCTCTCAAGAAATAAAGTCATTTGTTCAGAGTCAGGGAAAGGCTCAAAGTTAAAGTTGGAATTAGGACCCCCAAAATCTCTAAAAATCTGCCTCACTTGCCACTCTGAACTGCTGTAATCATTTGCTCAGTTTAGGAGCTGAAAGCTGAAGCTGCCTTCCTGATCCTGGTGTTGTATTGGGGTATTTGTGAAGAACTCGGCTGCTCAGGTATAAACACATTTTGTGGTTTCCACACCTCTTGTGTTTAATATGCTGCACGATAACTGAAAGACTTTTTAAAAGACTTTGAAAGAAATTTAGTTGATACGTTCTTTATTTCCAGTGTTCTGTACTTTCATTTTTAAATTCTCTTTCTTTCTCTACATCCCCTTGCCTTGGCCCCAGTTTCACTGAGGAGTCATTTATGAAACTTTAAGTTTTAGTAACTTAAAGCCATTGTCAGAAAACACAGGAAAATCAGTTAGAAGGAACCCCATTAGCCATGCCTCCAAGTCCTGTTAAATTATGAGCTTGTTGCTGTTCACTGTTTAATTCCATAAGATCACCCTTCTATCACTCAACTTGGACAGAAACTTAGGGAGACAATAGACAATCTTGGCAAAAACTGAAGAGAAACTGTTGTTGGGGGGTGGGGGTGGGAAATGGATGTAGCTGATAAATTACAGGGCTGCCTATTCAGTCATGGGAATGAAAACATTTCTCTGGATCAATGTATGAAAAGGATTTTTAATAGGATGGGAGAAGTCATTTGAACACCTGTTTCCTTGGCAATTGAATGCACTGGTGCCAATCACTTAGCCTGGATCTACTCTCCTAGCAGAAAATGACCTCATCTCTTATTCTTTGAGGATTGAAGCAGCAGAACAGTATCTATTTTAACAGGACTGGGAGCAATAAGCAGGGCATTGACAGCTAGGAAAGTTTGTCTTAGAAAGTCTGACCTGAGGCAGTGGGGAATCGGAGCCAGGAGAGGGAGAAGGAGAGAGGCTGTGAGCTTGTGTGGACACCGGCACATGAAACGAGAAGCACAGGACATAAAACTGTGAATCAGAGGCAAACTCATCTCACCCTGGAAGTTTCTAAGCCTAGAGTCATAAATGCCTCTTCATCTCGCAACCCATTCTGGTCATGGAGAAGTTCCTTTTGAAGGGTAGCTGTCTGTGTTGACTTTGTTAAGGTAGAAGTTCAAGCTCATTTATGAGGATAGAAGGATTCAAAGTACCCTCAGCAGGGCTCAGCTCTGAGCTTCACACGTACCCCATGGAAGGGCTCCCCTTATCCAGGACCAAGCAATGAAATGTTAATATAAGTGTGTTTCTTTGCATTTCTCCAAAAACTTTAGGTTTCCTCCATGCAACTGTGTCACGACTGTGTTTTTATCAGAGACTCTCACTGGGCGTGGTTTTATCCTCTTCCATGTACCTGAACCTGGAGAAGGAAATGGCAGCCCACTCCAGTATTCTTGCCTGGAGAAGCTCATGGACAGAGGAGCCTGGTGGGCTACAGTCCATGGCATTGCAAGAGTTGGACATGACTTAGCAACTAAACCATGTGCCCGAACCAGCACTGTGGCTTCAAAGAACACAATATTATGATTATCTTGGTCTCTGAAATGTATTACCCATGGTTTCTTTTAGCTTTTCTCTTTCCCCAGGGATGAACAACGCATCTAGGATACATTTCTAAAAAGCTTACAACTTTTCTTAAAATAAAACTCAGCCTCTTTACTGTATCCCAAATTTCTGTTTGATTCTTGACATAGTCCATAAGAACCTCTTCAATTAGATACCAATATCCTGCAGGACTCCCAGGGGTACATCTCACACAGGTTTCTTTCCCCACATTGGACAGTTCAGGGAGAGAGACCACAGACCTACTGTAAAATGGGGGGAAATATTTGGTGCTGGAAAAGACTCTTGAGAGTCCCTTGGATGCAAGGAGATCAAACCAGTCAATCCTTAAGGAAATCAACCCTGAATATTCATTGGAGGGACTGATGCTGAAGCTGAAGCTCCAATACTTTGGCCACCTGATGCAAAGAGCCAACTCATTGGAAAAGACCCTGATGCTGGGAAAGATTGAGGGCAAAAGGAGAAGGTGGTAGCAAAGGATGAGATGGTTGGATGGCGTCATTGACTCAATGGACATGAATTTGGGCAAACTCTGGGAAATAGTGAAGGACAGAGGAGCCTGGCATGCTGCAGTCCATGGGATCACCAAGAGTCGGACACGACTTAGCGACTGAACAACAACACCTGCGTGCGATGCAGTGTTGTAAGTTATAATCAAATACGACACAGGAAGTTGTGGGAGCATGTGGAATGTGGCAATTAATTTGGCCTAGGGGAGGGAGACCAAGGAAGGGCTCAGAGAGAAGAGGTGTCTATGCTGTCTCTTGTGGTGGAGGAGTGGGTGTTTCAGACAGGAAACAACATTTGCAAAGACCCAAGGTGTGAAGATATGTGGCACTTTCAAAGAATAGCCAGCAGTCTGCTCTGGCGAGTGTGAAGTGCATGGGGTAGGGAGGTGGCGGCTGGACAGGGAGAAGTAAGACGTGAACCTAGAAAGGAAGGCTAGTGCGCCCCTGTTAAGGGCTCCCTGCCAGGTGCCAAGGACTCTGAACTTCTTTTGGTGAAGAATAGAGAACCCCTTGAATTATCAGAGGAGTTTTTCTTCATGGATGTAGACATCACTTGATTCTTACCTATAGGGGTTTTGCCTCTACAGGTCTGGTGACATGTTCTTTAAACCCTTTGATTTTCCCCTTAGGTGCCCAGGAAAACTACACTTCACAGTTCCCATACAATTAGATAGAACCCTGTGACCATCCTGGCTGATGAAACGTGGGCAAATCCAATAGACATTACTCTTAGAAACCTCAAGTGGAGAACTCTGAGACTAAAAAGATGGCAGGCTCACTAAATGGAAGGATCATGGGTCCCAGAATCACCGCATGGAAGGCTATCTACCACATTCCCAATCGGCTTGTTTGAAATGTAAACATTCTATGCCGTTAAGCTACTGAGCATCAAAGATCATTGGTTAGTGGTTCTACTGATTCTACCGATTGAATGGGTGAGGATGTTCTCAGGGCAAAAGTAGCTGCTTGCACAGATGGACCAGCCCAGTGTGTGGACAAGTACTAATGGCACCCACTTGCTTTTCCCCAGAAGGACTTCCCCGGTATGGGCATTGCACCAGATTCTCTCTGAGTCTCACTCGTTGACAGTATGTGTATGCAGCTTCCCTCATCCTTCCAGCCCTGGTTGTCCATCTCCACAAAGCCCAGCACAGAATCAGCTCCACAAAACCCAATCCCCTCTCCCCTCACTTCTGCCATCCCATACACATCATTCATGGTGTTGCTTATGCTTTTTGACTCTTGCCTCAAGGCCACAATTGACTTCATTTTAATTTGATTTCATCTGTGTATAGTTATTTCTTTAGGGAGTGTTTGGGAGCTGCACCCTCTAATAGTTTAGAGCTCCACACCTCTCAGGAGATAAGACTAAATGCAATTTATAGAAAGTTCTTTTACCAGACAAACCTGAGCCAGTTCTGAAGAAAAGGGAGTGGTAAAAGGATGAAGGGTCAAGGATGATGAGGAGGCCATATTTGGAATTCTAAGCCCTGCCTGTGACAGGCTTGTAACATGTGGCTTTAATCACCGTTTTCCTGCCCATGTTGTTTAACAAGGGCTGGATTCCCATTGAATCCAGACACTCAGGTTGAAGATGACAAATCTTTTAGGATTTGTCCTAAAAGATTTCCTCATATGTGTATAAGATCCATGAATTTAAACTCTTTTCACAATCTGATACCTTGAGTTTTTATATTCTTTGGTTCTGAGTGAATGTGTAGCAAAGCAATTCAGAGAGGAGGCCGAGGGGTTATTGAACACACTATGACTGGATTACCTTCATGTTTTCAATACTCCTGCATTGAGCTTTATGATCTCACAAGTTACAACTGGCATCAATTTAATGAATTATTTCTGGAGGAAATCCATAACACCATTTTACAAAGTTTTATTACTGCCATATTTGAGTCATCTACTAAAATTGTTTTTATTAAAGCCTGCTGACAATTTAGACAAGATGGTACAGGTAGTTCACAAAAATGAGAGCTCCCAGAGGAGGCGTCTGGAGAATGATTCAGCCTCCCGAAGCCAGACCCCCTTAGGATCACATCTTGGCTCTTCCACTAAGGAGCCCTGGGACCTTGCACAAGGCACTCAGCCTGTCTGTACCTCGGTGTCCTTCTCTATGGAGAGAGTTGCAACATTCCAACCTCATGAGGCATGGAGATTGTATCATTGGCTCACAACTTCCATTTCCTTCCCTGTTCTTCCAGTTCTCCCTATAGACGTCCTCATCCTGCTGACTGAAGCTTGGCCACTCAACTGGCCAAGATGGTCCAGAAGCAGAGGAGCCATCGGCCTCATCTGAGCAGAGGTTTTAGAAGTGCTGGGTATTCCCATCAGCCCTTATGTTCTGCCCGCACTCTGAGACTATCAAGTCTCATGTGGGGGCTGCTTCTTCAGTCTGGTTCTGGGATGAAAAGACACATGAAGCAGAGCCAGGATGAGTCCAGCAGAGCTGCCAATGTTCAGAAATTCCAGAACTTTTAGGGTTGAAAATTGAAGCTCTCAGTTCTCACAAGTGAAAAAAAAAAAAGTCTTAAATTAAGGCAAAGGTTGGGCATAGATCCAACACACCCATTGTTGAGTCTACTGATTAGACTTACGTGGCCCTAGTAATTTATTTCCATTGACAAAATGTCTCTGGGAAAAGAGAGTGAGGGTGCAGTCATCTGAATCTTAATGAGATCAAAGTACCTTAGGAGGCATTTCTTGAGAAGTTGTGGGTATGGCTATTGACTTGCATGGACCTTCCTGGGATCAAATTGACTAAAAATGAAAGCAGTTATGTAAATAGAGTTATGCATGAAATATCATATGCTCATATCATATAGGAGGCTGTGTATTTGTGCATATGAGTATAAGCATTAACTATCTCTAGAAGGATAAAGAAATGGGTAAAAACATGTCACCAGAGAGGGAAACTGGGTCAGGAGAGGATGAAGGCAAGAAGAGTGACTATTCACCACGTACTCTTCTGAGTACTTCCCAACTGCTGCACGTGTGCACGTTCTACCTAGCCAAAGCCATATAAATTAAGTAATTTACAACCTTAATCTACCAAAAGTAGGTGGAGGTAGAGGGCACGTTGGGCTGGCACATGTGGGTTTTCTTTCAGGGTTTCCTGGAAATGGTCTAGAGTTAGCAGGATAGTTGTACAAAAGTCTAAATTACTGAAAACTACAGAATTGTTTACTTTTAAATGGTTTGGACGGTGAATTTTATGTTTTCTCATTAAAAAACAGAACATCTTTCTTTTCATAGGGAAAAAATTATATTTTGTTTGTTTTTCCAACCTCACCATGTGGCTTTTAGGATTTTGGTTCCCTGACCAGGAATCAAGCCTGGGCCATGGTACTGAAAGCCCTAACCACTGGACCACCAGGGAACTCCCAATCATAGGAAAATATCTTAAACCGTATATGAGTGAACACTATGTGGTTTTAACAAATGCACAAAAAATAAAATAATTTACAAAAGGCAAAGATGGTGTTACTGATAGGTTGATCATGTTGTGCAAGTGTCAGTTTCTGAAGGCTTGGGAAAGGGAGATGGTTTGACTCAGAATGATTCCCTACCTACAACGCCTCTGAGTGCCTTGAGCGTCCAGCCTGCTCCTCTGTCCCATTGAGAGATCAGGTTTCATTTTTGCCTTGGAGCCGTGATCCAGACCAGTGGCACAGTGCCTGCCTCATGAGAGGGTAGAGAACACACCCTGTATAGCACACCAATAAGACACGAGGATACCGAGTCTAACCAGAAGGAAGCCACAGTCAGGAGTGGCTGCCCAACCTGCAAGGCCATTGCTAAGTGATTCTTCAGTCTCCAACTTTTCTCACTGAATATCCACTCCCACTAAGAGAGCCTTTTGCAGACTTCATTTGAAGTGAGAAAACATGTCTTGCTTTGCCTCTAATGTGTGGGTTTTTTCAGCTTTCTACTAACAGATTATGATCTCCAGACCTCAGCCTGAAAGCCAGTTTACCCAAGACCCTTCACACAGTAAGGTAGTCCACAATTTGCTATTTCAAGGTATAGGTGGGTGGGGGGACAAAGAATCACAACTGCCTAGGGAGAAAAAAAAAAAAAGAGAGTTATAAGGGCAGCCTCCCTCTTGAGAGTTGAATTTGATCCTTTAAGGCCAGCAATTCAATCTTTTAAAAGGCACATCTCTGTTCTAATCAATCAAGCTTTCATTTCCAACAGCAATAACCTTCCCTAGGCACTCAAGAAATCAGAAACTAGAATCTTGGACATAGAAAGTCAATACAGAATTTTCTACTGAGTCGACCTGGTCCTACAAACCTCCCCAGGATTTTGTCGGCAGGAAATCTGATGTTCTAATATATCATGGGATGCTAACACCATCTATCAGTTCAAATCTGTCACATTAGGTGGAAAAGATGTGGCTTGCATCCAGGGCTTAAGGAATAGAGGGTCGGATAAATCTGAGAAGAATCAAAGATAAGTAATGGTCTCCAGTGTATTTTCCAACCTCTCATCTTGGGTTTATTGTTTTGTGAAGACTATATCCGAGGTTGACTGACTAGATATTCTGGGCCTTAGGGGTTCTGGTCCAAAGCTCTTAGCTAGTGGCCTTGCAGATGCTCTTAGCCCATAAAAGGGTCAGACGTCATAGATGTGATCTCAGCCCTCTGTCATCTTCATTAAGCTTTGTGTGAAGTGATAGGAAGAGTCATACAATCTAGGTGACCCACACACAATGAAATTTAAGGTACAAGATATTTTTAAGCCATTTTTTTCTCCAAGGTGCCACATTAGAAATTTGCTCAGG